GATGTCAACAAGGCCAGCCTGTCTGCAGTGGGATCAAGGTGCGCCTTTCTTTTCCTTTGTAGTGGGATGGGAAAATATTGTGAAAAGAGAGATAGATAGAATCTGACATTAACATCAGAACCATTGTATTCTTAAACTGAGGTGTATTAATAGTTATTATAAAATAGAAAATAAAATTGCTCAGGAGATCTTTAAACTTTCTTTGGGGGTCTTGTGGTCTAGATGCCAAGTGTTCGCCTCTCAATCAATAGGTCTCGCGTTCGAAACCTGAAAATGACGGAAATTTTCTTTTCTGAAAAAATGTTATCCTTTTACCCTTCTTTCTACTTTAATTGGGTTCTCTGCCGTCTGCTTTCGTCTACACTTTCTGCCCCCTCCCCTCGTCTCCTTCGCCCCCTCTGCCTGGCCCTCCTCTGGGTTCCTGACTCTTTCTGGTACCTTCCTATTGCTACTCCTTGGGTCCTTCTTACTGAGCTGTGCATTTTCAGCCACATCCTAGGTGGGTAAGATCTTTCACCTTGCCTTCTCGCTATTTTAAAGGCGAAAAAATATCGAAAGTCCCGTGTGCAAGTTGTGGCACGTTAAAGATCCCTTGGTGGTCCTGAAATTGATAAGACTAGATCTAGTGCTTCGACCAAACTGTATGTGTCCCATGTGCTCTCATATATGACATAATTTTGCAGTTAAATTGCGAGCGCTGTAAAACACAAAACATTGTGTACTGTGAGTTGGTGAATAATGTAAGTGAAGTGTACAAGTGTAGGCTCATGTGTTGTAGCGTGTCAAGATGGTTCTGTCTTGTGTGTGCTTGTGGAGTCCGGCATTGAAATGATTAGATTCTCGTTATATTGAGAACGAGTGTGTTTTGATTAGATGAAAAAAGAATGGACTGGTGTTTACACAATTAATAAGCAAATTGATAACTCTACTCTTCTATTTTGACAAAGGATTAAAAGGGGAATATGGGGTGGGGGGGGGGGGGGAGGATGAAACAGCACGGCGTGCTGTGGGATCTCTGGTGTTAGGGATCGGGTGGAGAAAAGGCTAGAAAAAAGAATTTGAAATACAAACTTACTGTATTATATTCTCATCATCGTCACCATTAGGTTTTGTTTACACCTCTCTGTCAGTAGTGAATAGTGTAGCAGTGATGCACTATGCACTTCCCGATGTGTTATTGTATTCTAGTTACAAGATCTGACGTTTGATTCCTGGGTGGGGAAAATTTTGTCAAGTACCCTGCTCTTTCTGCTCGGGTGTTGTATCCAGGCTCTTAATCCGGCTTTGCTCTGACAGGCAGAGTTGAAACTTGCTTCCTAAATTTTTTAAATTATCTCGATGGGGGTGCCAAACACCAATATTTTGTTAAAAAGCTTTCGTCACCTCGAAATTAGCATGCTCCACAAACAAAATCTGTCTAGAATTTTTCTGAGTCTTGTTCTCCAGTTTTCCCCTTTGTCTTTTCCTTTCCATCTCTGTCAGTTCAAGTCTTGCAAAGTCAGCCATATGCTCTGCTCTCTATTTCTGTACAGAAACCCTTGCTTTTTTCACAATGAAGGTGCCCTTTTGAATACAAGTACAAGAGTTACACTTATAATTCCAACAAAAAAAATAATTAGTAAATAAAATAATAACATCTGCTTGAAGATTTAGAATACAGCTTATTCTTGAACCATTATGTACAGACATGATTTCTTTCCTTTTGGTAGAAATTAGGGGATGCACAGAATGAGGATGTACAGTTATACACAGGAATTTGGTTTTTCAATCTTTTCATGCTGTCATTTATGATTTGGTGTGGGTGCCTCTTTGCTGCCCTTGGGCCTTGCACTTGCAGTGGCTCTCGACGGCCTTGCAGGCCTATGTTGAGAGGGAAGTGTTTCATTGTTCTTTGTTTCTTACTCATTCGTGATGGCTAACATTCCTTTTAAGTTTGTTTTTCTCTTTAAAAAAAAATTATTATTCCAAAAAATATTCTTGATGTCTAATGAGAAAGCCCTCAATATTATACACTTGTTTCTAACTTTTCTCTTTTAATTGATGGTAAAGTATGTAATTATTTCTTTCAGTTCTTTTTCTACCACTGTCATTGATATCATGTAACTTTGGTGCTAATTTTAAGATGGACTGTCTGAACAATGAAGGCATTTTCAATCTGCATGCTGGGTTGAATTTCACTATGTGCTGTAGTATGTCTTTATTATGTGGATGGTTTGAGGATGACACTGATAGGTCCCACTTCTTTTTTTTTCTTCTTTTATTTTTGTTTGTCTGTGTGTCTTGCATTTTCCCTGCACTAAATGGGCGTTATTGTGTTAATGTGCTAAATCAGAACTGAAACTCAAGTCTTAATTATGAAGTGGTTAGTAACTTTGCAAAACTTAAATTCTTCCCCTTCTCAAAACTGAATAGGCCAAGAAACGGTATGTAATTATATTACCAAAAAGTAACACCATGTATCTTCTTGGAAAGCAAAGAGCTGTTCAGTCTTGGCTGTGTTAGAAAAAAGTTAAGCGGTGACGTTCAGTTGTTCTGTAGGTTGAAGAATTGCCAGTTGACTACCCATTTCTTTTAACTGAAAGGGATTGTGG